TCAATGGTCCTGCTGTGGAAGGACACAAGTTCAGACAGAATCCAGCTCAGTGACATGCAGAAAGGTGATATGTTTGTGTGTGTAAAAGCACAGCTGTAATGTAAAAGCGTTGCCGGGGTGAAAATATAAAGCTGGTCCTTTCCATTTGTGTCGATAACACTGACCACTGCATTGCCGTCGAAACATCTGGCTCGCAATCTCTGATCAGTGCCAGGTCAATTTACACATACAGAGTTTCAGTTGTGCTTAAACAGATAACAACAATTAAACAACAATGCACTGCACTTTACTAATGAGGCATACAAACAGTGTGACAAGTTAAAAGTAATGCATTTTATGTAATGACTATAATGACAGCGCTGTCAAATGAAAGCAGAAGCACTCTGTCACTGTCACAAGGATTTATCACCTATTTTAGTGTCTATCTGGTGAAAACTACAAGTCCAGTTGCTATACAGGTTTGTAAAAAATGTAGGATTGATGAATCAGTTCCCTTTTAATTTATGAGTGTATATTTGAATTTGACATCACTGAACTGCAAGTCAAAGAAAGTTAATGTAAGTGATTAATTTTGGGAAATTAAGTGTTTTTCGACCTTGATGCACAAGAGTTATGTTATTAAATGTGATGAAATACATACACTAAATACAAATTCCTATAGGTGTCATCTATCTATCCATCCATCAAACTTCAAGGCATTTCAAACTTTGTTCAAATCTTTCAAGCAAGTCTTTTAGCATGATGACATTCAAAGCTGTCAGAGTCAAACCATTAAAAATAACCAGGTTTGTAATAGTTAATTAAAACTGAAACTAAAATTAAAACAATTAAAAAACATTTCCGTAACTTGAAATAAAAGTAAATGTGAACTAAAATAAAACAAAATATTTAAAAAAGTATATTCCAGCTTTAATTTAGTTTTAAAAATTAATAAAAACTTTATAGACATACATATACACTGCATATTTTTATAACAAAAACAAAAATAAATAATAAAAACTTTAACATTTAAATGAAAATGGACAATATAAAAATGATTGAAAATATTAATAAAAACTATAATAGCATCTCAACTATACTAAAATAACACTGGGTATTACATTACAATGAATTTAAATTAATTTTAATTCTACTTCCTTACATTCAAATTGAAACTGTAATTCTGCATTCTGTTTGCCACCTCAATTCAAATTCATTCTACATAATGCTTGACTAATCAAACACCATTAATGACAGGAAAGGAAGACAAAATCAAGCAAATATGAGTCCCATCAGAATAAAAAACAAAACAAAACCAGTGTGAATCACTGATCAGTTAAAAGGTTGTCTGAGCTGAACTACTTTCCTTGGTCCCCCTAATAGTAATTCATGTTTTGTAGAAGTGACAGGAAGATGGCGGTCTTTCTTAAGGTCAGATCGGGTATATTTTTAGGTCAGTACTCACCAAGGTGAGGATGCTAAAAAAGAAGCCATTTGAAGACACAGTGCTGAAAGGGGGTGGAACTAAATATTTCAAAACCCAACAGCTACTGAAACATGAACCTAAACTACACATAAGAAGAGACTAGAACCCTTACGTTTGGATCTGTTAATCATGTGATCTTTAAATGCAGCATGACATATCTCTTAACCAAAGACATGCTAATTTCTGGCTCCAGTAGATCCAGGAGTAGTTTCCATGTACTACATGAATTCAACAAATCAAACCCTTGATGGAAACCATTGTTGTTAACAAAAAAAAAAAATGTTGTTAATTAAAATATTATATATATATATATATATATATATCTAAAATAATACTGGATAAAATTAGTTTAATAATATGCACCAATACCAATGGCTAACAATGCAAGTCCTTGAAAACACTCAACGGAAACTCATTCACATGTCCAATTCTGTCTCATTGCCCTCATAAAATATAGACAATACAAGAGAACGAAAAGTTAAATGTCTCCATCAACAGCTCTGTATCGTGTCGGGTGTGTCACACTATGACCCCAGCCTACATCTTGGAGTCACTGTATGCTTGTCATGTTCCTAAAACCTCCACAGTGCTGCTATGCCAACCAAAGCTCCTCTCAACCCCAGAGAAGGGGACAGGTCTGGACACATGACCCTGATGTCATTGGAGAAGATGGAGCAGATGTGGATGGGGCCCTCCATCATTGAATGATTAGTCAAGCACAGGCACACAAGACTGAAGTAACAACACGGACTGATGTCAAAGGTCAACATTATAAGCTCTGATCATTGAACACATTTATCTTTACGTTGTTGATAATACAGATACTTCAACGGCCTGTAAGTGAAAGCCTCAGAGGTGACTGGCAAGATAGAGATACAGAAGGAAATCACTTTTCAACAATGTGAAATCCCACAGCTGCACACAGGGAAGAGCCACAGCAAAGAGAGAGAGATTTCTGAAAGGTCAGATGACACACACAGACTTGTGATATCTCTCTCCTCTTTCTTTTTACCTTCCTCTCTTTATTTCCCTCAACACATGGGCCTTCTGAGATTCAAAGAAAGAGAGAGAGGGTCACTAATAGAAGTGGAAATGGTAGATTTGTTACCAAGACAAATATTGGTGAGCTTCCTGTTCAAATGTCATCTCTGAGTAGAGGGGGTTGCAAAACTAATCTGATGCATGACAAGCGTGACGACTGCATGTTTGTGTACATGTCTGCTGGCTTGTATTTGCTTAACTGACAGTGTGTGGTGACATAAACGAGAGGTTTTGAGGGAGTTGGATATCGATGCAGACACGATAATCACATTAAAGCAAGACAAAACAATACAGGCCAGTACATCAGTGGTGCTGTGGTTAGAAGGAGCAAGTTGTGAACTATCACCACTGTGCCACTGAGCAGTATACTTTAACCTGAGATTACTCAAGGGGGACTGTCCTAGTAAAGCGCACTGATATAAACATCTGATAAATGGTCAAGCAGTAAAGAACAATGCAGGGCAATACCCCAGTATCACTGTTTGTCCTGCAAACCAGTAGTTGATCATCTTGCTTGGTAACCAAAAGTGAACTATCACTATATGAACTATCACCATTGTGCCCTTGTTCAAGACTCTTAACCTCACGTTACACCATTGTGACTGAACCTGTAATAAATGTACTGATAAAAGTATCTGATAAATGAGATAGTTCTGAACAATGCAGGTCAATACAAAAGCAGCCCTGTTTCCCTTGAAAAATCAATTATTATTCACCAAATGGTTGTATGTTCAAACCCGGCAAGGTATAATCCATTCTGCTATTGAGAATCCTCAGTTTACGTAATGGGGACTGTCTGACTGTTGCTAATAGTTACTTCATATAAAAAACATATAGGGACTTGAATGTAATAACATTAGGAATAAGCTACTGAAAAAAAGCCATATTGGTTGACCACTCATTTGAAAACTTGGGGAATGTCCTCCCCAATGTCTAGTTATGCTGAATAAAATAGTCTAATAAATGACAGAGCATAACATGCAAGACAAATACTCCAGTAGCCCTGATTACCCTGTACATTTCCTCTAGACTAGTGGTTAAACATCTAGCATGGTTAACCATTAGGTTGTAGTTTCAAGACCAACAAGGTTTGATGCATTGTGCAACTGAGCAGAATACATATCCTCAGGTTACTCCCATGGAATGTTCTCTGTAATAAATGTACTGATAAAAGCAAGGCTGTAATCACATTTGGGGACCAAATACAATAATTTATTAATCAAATCCATATCGTTGATCTGAATACTGGGGGGACGTGTCCCCATTCAATGTCTACTGCCCTAACTAAAACCATCTGATAAATAACCGAGCAGAACATATAGGGAAATACCCCAGTGAGAAGTGACACAATGTATATCGCTAGATGCAATTCAGAACCGAGGATAGCGCTCACGGAGCTGCCGCAACATTTCAGCACCGTGGACAGCGTTCACCGAGCGGCCGCAGCAATTCAGCACCGCGGACAGCGCACATCGAGCGGACGCTGTAATTCAGAACCACGGACAGCGCCGCCGCTGCTGCTGGTTTCCCCGCTCTACAGCAGTGAGGAGGGGGGAGGTGAAGAGGGGTTTCCTCAGAGCTGGATGGAGCTCCTCTCTCTCTCTCCATCTTTGCACATTACCACCTTCACCAGCGGATTTCCATGAGAGGGTTATCACCAATCACATCACACGAAAATCCATGGCCTTCACGTTTTTTTCCTCTGCCTAAAGCTGTATTATCCTGCCAATTCAGAAGATTTTACAAAATACCATCATTCCGTAACTCGAGTCTACATTTGATTTTTTTCCATTTTTGACAGAGGAAGGGAATTGATCGCATATTATACAGCCTTTGCTCTACCATTTCATTCATCCTAAACCAGCATCACTGAAAAAAAAACAAAAAAAAAACATGAAGCACGAATGGAAATTACCGGCGAATGCATGTTTGCATTAACAAGACTGTCATGCAGAGAGGAAACCAGCATTCTGCCCACGATTCACAGCCATCCTCACTAATATCAGCCCACTGCATCCACTGTCTCTGACAGTAAATCCCATCTCTATCACCGATGTCTATATGGCCGGGTACTTAACAAATAATACAACATCCACTGAATTAAATGTGCTCATGAAACGCTGTGGCGTGAACGTTGAGCTATTTTAAAGGTTTAACAAACTAAAATTAATAATTCCGCAGATAAAACTATATCTTCATGTGAAATTTCATTATAATATAACAGATACACATTAACCAGAAGCTGGGCTGTTTTTTAGTGCAGGAGGTTTGGCAGGTAAATTAATCTCTGGCAAAGAGGGGAAAAGGCTTTAAATCACCGCTGACCATGAGAGAAACACACACAAACGCACACATACACACACGCACGCACACACACACACACACACACACACACACTTGGGGAGGAGAAGCACCGCTGGCAAACAGCTGGGAATATGCAGCCGCTTTCCCCCAAAATAAACCCCAGGATGACTTGAAGGATTCTGGCCTTTACCTGTCAAGACGCCGACCCGGATTTGGTGGTCGTGGTTTGTTAAAAGCATCCCGTCTGTCGCCATATTCAGCACCGCTGTCGCCGCACTGAGAACTCCAGGCAGAGCCGAGAGCCGAGCGCATCGAACTCTGGAGGGGGAATGAGGGAAGCGCGCAGGCGAGAGCAGCAGAGCGAAGATTCAGCGCTCATCATTTCTAACTGGGAAATCCGTGAACAAACAAAGGTCCTTAGATTTTAGGTTTACATTATTACAGAGTTTTTATAAGAAACACTAATTATGTAAAATAAAGTTAACTTACATAATTATATACACTACCGTTCAAAATCCTGGGGTCAGTTAGATTTTCTTTAAAATAAATTAATATTTCTATTAAGCAAGGATGTATTAAATTGATCAAAAGTGACTGTAAATACATTTATAATGATGTCTAAAAGATTTATATTTCAAATAAATGCTGTTCTTTTGAACTTTCTATTCGTCAAAGAATCCTGAAAAATAAAATGTATTACGATTTCCACACAAATTTGAAGCAACACAACTGTTTTCTCAGAAAAGTTTCTTGAGCAGTAAATCAGCATATTTGAATGATTTCTGAAGGATTATGTGACACTGAAGATATAATATAATATAATATTATATTATATTATTCAACACCAAACCAAACTTGAATTCTTATTATTATTCAAGACTTAAAGGGGTCATATGATGACAGCGTCTTCATGACATGGCGGCAGCGGCAACAATACTACAGTGAAAATTAAAAGTTACGCCTTATTTCTTTGCGTGAACATTTGGGTGGCGTTATGCAAATCTTCCCACATCGTGACGTAGACATGTGGGGGCGTGTTAGAACGAGCCGTTTTAGGTAGGCGTGGTTGACTCTTAACTTTTATAAAGAATATCTCTTTGGATTTGAGACTTTAGTCTTTGCAACTTTACAGATCTTCTTTATGCACCAAGAGCTTGTAACACTCCAAAGAGAAAGGAAAAATTGAAATCGCATCATATGACCCCTTTAACTCATATTATAATGAATATATAACTCATACTATAATGAATATCATTATCAGTTTCACAGAGTATCTTCCTCATATTTTCCTCTCTTTATAAAACACTTGAGCTTGCTTGTGTAGTTTGTCTATTATTGGCTTCTGGAACCTGCTTACCCAGATATTCAACAAGAAAACAAGTAAACCTTTGATAAAGTCCTTAGACTTTTCAAATGTCCAAAACAAAAATGCTGACTGTACAATTCAATAAATGTCTTATTGCTCTAATGTTAACCATTTTGCTAACCAATTTCCTCCTCCCACAGAGATCAATAAAGTTTCTGATCAATTCTATTCACCATATCTCAAAACATTTGATATCTCAGAGAACCCCATGATGCCCTCTTTAAGACACACAAGGACTTAATACAGTTTAAATGATCTCAGAGATATTAACAAGAAACTCATGTCCATTACAGTAGAAATTAATCACTTGCTCTCATGAGTGTATGAACGGCATCACTGGATCATAATGCGGGGGCCACACACACACGCACACACACGTACGCGCACACACACACACACACACACACACACACACACACTCCTCTCTACCTGTAGTCTGGCTGAATGCCATGCTAGTGATGCATGTGTGGGCTTTTCTACATTAAATCATGAAGAGCTCCATCGATTCCATCTCAGAACAATGACGTGTCAATCACGACTCGGGTCACAACCTTTCTTATGTCTGGCATTTTTTTGATTTATTTGCTTTGAAACACAGGAAGTCTCCGATTTTGAACCTTCCTTCTACAGATGATAGCAGCCCTGACTTGTGCAAATACAATCACAGCCTGAAGCAGTAGCCATGTTTCTATTTATAGCAGCACATCACGCTTCTGTGGTGTGTGATTCTTCTTGTTTATTCTCATGGAAAAAAAAGAGAGTAAATTAATAATTCATTACATTTATATAGCACTTTTCTAAGCACTCAAAGCGCTTTACATTGTGAGGGGAATCTCCTCATCCACCACCCGTCAAAAGTAACACCAGTAAATGTCCTCTGCCTGTGTCAAGATTAATTTTTCATGAGCACATTTAAGTGTTGGGGAAGTATAGAGTTTAAAGACAAAGATATCAGTGCAACACTTTACTGAAAAACTGTGAGGGAAACAGTGAGAAAACAGGTTGCTATGCGATTTCTAGGCTATTAACACATTGCAAGGATATTTCTAATGTGTTCTAAAGGGTTCAGGTCCATTCTTCAGTGTAAGTCTGTGGGATTCTTTCAGCAGTTGTTTATAGGTAGCATGTATGTAGAGCGTTAAAAGTGAGCAGACAAGCACCAGCCTCATTATTTCAGTTTTCTTGCATAACACTTCTGTCTGATCATAAAGCAAATCAAGTACATCAGGCATACAGACTGGAGGCTGCATCTAAGATGCTGACAATTTTCTGTAGAACTTGCACAAACGCAAAGAATTTACAGAAACTCCTTAGTGACTGACTATGCAAATACTGTATAAATATTATGTTTATCAATGTTGAAAACAGTTGTGCTGCTTCATATTTTTTTGGAAACCGTGATGCATTTTGTTTTTCAGGATTCTTCAATGAATTGAAAGTTCAAAATAACAGCATTTATTTGAAATCTTACTGACTCATATGCTTGCTTATTGGTAGTGTATTACGGTTTACACAATTATAATATGCAGCACAACTAACTAACTAACTAACTAACTACCGAAAGAAAGAAAGAAAGAAAGAAAGAAAGAAAATGTTTCCTGAGTAGCAAATCAGCATATTAGAATGATTTCTGAAGGATCATGTGACACTGGATATTTTTAATCAAATCTAGTGCATTCAGTGTTGATCTCCTAAAGGAATAAAAAGTTATTGGATATATTCCCCTCTCAAAAACATGGATTTACCACAGACTTAATGAAACCGCAACATCCCACTCACAAAACCTCTTTCTCTTCATTATAATCCAGTTTGGACTTTGGAGCATAATCTGTCCACACAAACTGTTGTAGCAGTACTTGAAACCACGAATCAATTGAAACTGAAAACTGTACAGTTTCGCGGCATTTGAAACAATTAGAATGCTTTAAAATTCAAATTTTTGAATTCAAATTGCCTTATTATAGACATTGCATGCTTCAAATGGAATGTAAAAGGGAATGTTCATAGGATGTTATATCTAATAATGAATAAATATATGCAATATAAGTTATGCAAAAGGAGACTGATGAGATTTTGATGGACATCAACAGTTACTCAGACTCTCTGGTTGTTAGTCACTAGCGTTAAACACGATCCATACTGAGTTGAGAAAGATCCATTTCGTTCTCATTTTCCACCAGCACAGAAAATGGCCTGGAGGAAGAGAGAATCAAATCCGTTCTGTTCCGAATTAATCAGCGGTGTCGTGTCACATCTGTAGGACGAGCGTGAGAGAGAACGAGCGTTTAGTTGCTGTGAAACTTTCCTGCTCAGACACACACCCACCGGATTTTAGTTACAATTTTCATACCGTGTACAGTACAGCAGCGTTATTTGCATTCGCTGAGCAAACAGGAAGGAATGACCTGGAACATCAAATCACCGCAGGCCGTTTTGTTCAGCCGTGTAATTGATTTAAGGCGCGTTAAACCTACAGATTTTACGCTCAGATACAGTAGAACTGATGCTAATAATACAACCGCTCATATTTATTTACATGCTGACAGAATGAAACGGGACGAAGAATACACCAGACAAGATCAGAAGAGAACAGATGAACCCAGACGAGACCAGAGAGGCAAGAAAGCAACAAATGAGGAAAAAACGGCGTTGAAACATAATGACAAAATAGCAATTCCCCTTGGGAAAAATGAAGGTAAATCATTCATTAAAAGCAAGACTTGCATGGGATACAGATGGTGGAGAATAATACAATATTCAAAAATCAATTAAAGTTAGTAGAAACAGAGGAGATGAAATCATGTGTACAAGACTAAGCAACACGTTATTTCCCATGAATAAGTCAAATACAGATAAATATGTAAATGTTAACAAAAAGCATGCACTTGAAAATAATTTAGTGTAGAATTTCACAAATAATTATAAGGAAATTGCAAGTAATACATTTCATTAAATTTGATTTTTCTGTTTAAAAATATAATTTTTTATGTATTGTTTTATAATTTTTTATTTAAAGACTAGTAAAGAATTTTCTTGTAAAACATACTCCAATAATCTTTATTTATAACACTGAATTTTTACACACTATATATATATATATATATAAACACAACAATTCCAGGGGACAAAAACACTTGTATTTCTCTCTTCAAATTGGTCTTGGCTGAACAACATTGGCACATTATGTTGAGTTCCTGCATTGTTAAGTATTACCAGCAGGGGGCTCTAGCAGGTAGATTTAATACACTGAACTGAATAGGTTATGACAGATCCAATCATTTGCTTGCAAAAAGTTAACTGTTCTTCTGTGTTTCCACCTGATTGTGATCGGATGGACATAAACAGCTACGCAGACTCTCTGGTTACTAGCCTTAAACACAATCTAGCATAATTATTTTTGAACATCATTTATTTAATGAAAGTTACAGGAAGACGTTCAAAAGAATGTTTTTAATTTTATAATTTTTTATTTAAAGACTAGTAAAGAATTTTCTTGTAAAACATACTCCAATAATCTTTATTTATAACACTGAATTTTTTTTTTTACACTAATTAGTATTATTAAAAATAACACTAAAAATGCATTATCAAAACTGGAAGGAAATGGGATATTAAAGGTCTACTACAAATAGGAAATAATCAATTGGTAATTGAATTATAGTTAAATTTTGACATGAAACTGGTCTTATTAGGACAATACAAGTAGAGATCAATCAATATAATATATAGATGCCCTGTAACTATAGCCAAGAAACTAAAAGAAGAAGAAAAAGAGGCAAGAAAGCACAGACGAGAAGAGACAAGAATTGACAAGCTCTCATTTTGCTCCATATGCTGGTTTCGCAAAGGTTTGCATGTGATCTGACCTCCATATCTCCATCCCAGGGTCCATTTAATAGCTTTTGACCAACATTTTCTCAAGAATGATCCACTGAATTAATAACA